TGCTTCAGGGGGTGCCAGGACAGATAAAGAAGCCACTATGCAGCGGCGTAGTGTAAGACTGCCCAGCAGAGCACAGATAAAATTTATCACAGGAGCACACATATGAATAAGCAGCTTAGAGAGGGGCCTGTGGTAAAACACGTAACAGCTGAATGTCTACAGGAACGCTGCAACTTAGCAAGAAAACGGTGACWAACGACAGCTTACAGTACCTGCTTATGAGACAGGGCTATCGGACTGTTCCGTGCACTATGGAGCCTACCCCGTCCTGAGCTGCTGCTGTATTTACATAGGAGCCGCAGTGGGGCGGGCAGCCTCGCATGGAGCCATTCCCAAGCAGAGCCCCAAACGGCTCGTGCTCCTGGTGAGCTCCTGCTCGCGGGTCACGAGTGGCAAGGGGGAACGTGAGAGCACTGCAACACAGAGAGTGATGTGAGAGATTGCAACACGCAGCTATCTGATCCTGGGCTCAATAGGTCACCACGCGCGTCCTGCACTGCTCTACATGAATGTGACTTTCTCAACTGAGGGGAAAAAATGAGAAAAAAAACACACAGTTTGGGGGTACATCTCACTCAAAGTCAGAATTTCACAAACAAAAAAATCCAAAGTCTTCAGGCTTATAGGGGTTTGGATCAACTCATGTAAGCTTCAGAATAAGCAAAATAGGGTGAACTTCTTTTGTTAAATGGAAATGTATGCACAAGGTTTCTCTTTCCGCCCTCAGTGACTGCCCATACGGCTTGCCATTCAAGGGGGTAAATACTACACGTGGGTACCTGACTCCACATGGGTATTTTTAGCTCTGTTCTTTTGGGGTCTGGCAGACATTTAAAAAAAAAAAAAAAAAATCAAAGTGAAACATCCTCTCGTTTAAAGAAAGATTGGATTAAAGAAACTCTCGGGAACAATGGAAAGCAGCAAGGCTAAGCAACAGCATGAGATAGTTTGGGACAGATCAGGCGCAGATTAGAATGATTGGCAACTCGCATATTTTTTTCATCTATATCTGACACTCCTAAAAGTCTGCTGATTCACTCTAGGAAGGACAGGTTCTCCTCTTTTTTTTTTTTTTTTTTTCCCTTTTTTTTTTTTTTGGCTGTCATTTACAAGCAGTATGAATGAAAATGGTAGTATTTTACACCTGTGTTGCACATGTGTAAACGACTGTAGCTAACACAGCAGTTGCAAATCAGGTCCAGAGAGTTGAAACGAGAAGAAGCAGAAGATTCATAAAAAAGGCATAAACTCAAGACTATTGCCAATGTGGACAAAGGAGAGAGAGAGAGAGAGAGAGAGAGAGAAATAAAGAGCAAAAGGTCAAAGGAAGCAAGAGCAAGATATGCAGAAAGTGGAACCAGGTTTGCAACAAAGAGGAGGGCAGGAAAATTCCTTTCAGGGGAAACAGTCCAAGGATACTAAAGAGAAGTCTCCACAAATAAAATCCAGAGAGTATTAATATGGAAAGGAGACAAGAATATTCTCCTGGCATTCTTAGATGAGCAAAATTAGCCCCTCCCCACTCCACCATACTGCAAAATCTGCCAGGAATTAAAAGAAAAAAAATAAATTCCAAGTCCATTCCTCAGAAAGAAATGCACTTTTCAGTTATATTAAGGAAAAGTGTTTGAACGAATCAGACAACATAACCCCCACAGAAAAATCGCCCTGTGGAGGCGGTCTCCGATTTCAGTGTGCGAGCAGCTTGTGAGCAGGCGCGGGTAGGGGAAGGAAGGGCGGCCCTGCCAGGCGCCGGGGCGGACGCCCCCTCGCAGCCCCTGCGAGCCCTGGCCCCGAGACACGTCCTGCAGCYCCGAGCTCGTCCTGCAGCAGCCCCGGGCTCCACTCCGTGCCCACTCAGCTCCGTGGTCCACGGCGGCGCCGGGGCCTTCGCCTCCGCAGGGCTCCTCACGCGCAGTGGGCCGCAGCGCCAGGCAATTAGCACGCCAAAAAAGCCCGAGTGCTGATTAATGTGGTAGAGCTCGCGTGTAACAATTAGCAACTGGGGACAGCTCCTCTTATGCGCCTGTTCGCCAAAGCTACATGACACGTTGTCCTTCCTTTCTAAAGCAGGCCTCATCTCACTTCCAACGTGTGAAAGGAGAGATTATTCAGCACGGTGGTAGACACATTTCTGTTCTCAAGAACACTGTGATATCATTAATCTTCTGGCAAGTCGGCAAAGGCGGGTTATGGGAATGCAAGTATTTTGCAAGGCTATAAATAAAACTTAAAGAGAGAAAGAGGCAGAGAGAGGAGATGTTTTCCTAGAGCTTCTATTGCTACAACACAGCCCATGTTAACAGTGCAATAGCTTACACTGGTAAGCTATTATGCTTTAATGCTTTAAAAATCTCCTTTTTATATTTTTTTAACATCTGCCCAGAAAAGTGGGGCATAAAAAGGGATTCTAGGACTGAAATATGTATTTTCTGATACTGGCTATAAACCAGGTAGTTAATCAAAGAATGTGCAAAATATATTTCATATATCTGTAATTGTAGTGTACTGTTCAACAGCTGATAGCTATAGGCATAAATATCCACAAAAGAAAAGGAAAGAAAGAGATAGTGTGAGCAACACGAAGCTTTGTCGGGAAGAAGTTACGATAGATAACCGCATTAGTCACAAGCAGCAAAGATATAACTGACTGAGGCAGGTTATCTTTAGAAGTCCATACCATGTACCATATACTTTGCACAGTACACGTCATAGCCTTTCTTCTGTCCTATTGGAGAGTCCAGCAGGTTGGGGCAGGAGGAAAACAGAAATGTTCTGCTTTGAAAAGGACACCTGCCATGAAAAAAAAAAAACCTCTTGACTTCTTTCCTACCCTCAACAAAATAGTTCCTAATCCCAACAAAAGAGTTCAAATAGAGATGGCAGTGTCATAATCTTCAGGTCTTGTGCCCTGAGCCCTTCAGAGAGATAAATCAAGACTCATTCATATCCTTCCCAGTGATATAAAAAGCCTTTTCCTTTAACCATGCAWAGTTGAGGTGAATCAGGTTTTAAATTTGGTAACTTTTCACAACCAGTTATTGATTATTGTCATCTTTGGAGAAGAAAATTGGACAATTCAAAGGAGTAAAAAAGTTTTTTTTATGACTTCTGCATACCATACCATTAAAAACATTGTGCATCTGAAGCTGATCAGGAATTGCAGAAATAATTCCCAGGGATAAATTAACATGCAGTTTGCCAGAGCTAGGTGGTCAAAGTAGAATGATAAACTCTAAAATCATGGGATACATTTCATTTACCACATGATTCTGCTGCTTGTCAGCTAGATATCACCACACTTTACATTAATCCTGCTTTGGAGAATCAGATCATAGTTACCRTTTATTTCATTTGTCCCAACAAGACTCAACCTTTAATTTTGTTTATGCAACCTACTTACATTATTGTATCATGCAAATAAGGTAGAGTTTTAGTCTGTCTAGTGTTAAAACAGCACACAGGAAAGTGATTGAAGATTTCATTGCAATTCGAATTTAAAAAGAAGCTTTTTTCTTTTTCACTTTTCAGGGCCATATTTTTATCCTGCTTTGAACAGGTTCAGAAAAGAATGTAAGGGACAGAATCTTTTTGTCACTTCTGAGTGCAAGTACTAAGGAAATCTCAGCTAAAGCATCCTTAAGTGAATTGRGGCTGTTGTGTAGTAGGTTTAATTCCAGATTATCAAAATATTGGATAAACTTGGAATAGCGAGAGTTAGTAAGGAAGACAGGAATGGATTTGCTGAAGGAAGGAAAGGGCCATTCTGCCTTCACTTTGCTCATGAGTTCATCTTCCTCTCTTCTACCACAGCCTTGGAAGCTTCTCCTCTGCCAGAGCCTGACCCAGCCGACCATGCATTGACCCCATACGTAGGAACGATCCCAGCACGTGCCTTGGGAAAGGACTGGAGCTCACATCTGTGATTCCAGGAGGGGTGAGGGTTCAGTTCCCCAATCACAGGGAGACTGGATTTGCCAGATCACAGGCTCCAGGCCTTACTACCCTAGGCCTAATTATATGTTTAGGTCGTACAGTCACTTTCGGAAATGGATAAAGCTCTGTCTGGAAATCAGTTCAGTTCCAGGCATCTCTGCTCCTACTGAAAGAGGCTGCAGAGTCCTTTAATGGTTAGGACCAGTCATCCGATTACAAGCATATACTTACTCATTACAGTTTATACACATTTGTTCTTGTGCCAAAACTATCCTTTAGTATAAGTTGTTCTTTACTCCTTATGTATTTATAGACTGCAATCACACCCCTTCTCAGCCCCAGATTTGCCAAGTAAAAGAAGCCAGACCCTTTTCATCCCCTTTCATGAGACAGACTCTTGGTTTCCATGCCTGCCTTAGCAGCCTTGCAGGATAAAGGTTTTATCCACGTGATTACACCAAAATTCCAATTTCATCAGTGCTTACCCCAATGCAACGAATACTTCTGTATTTCTACAGAAATACCTCTTAGCATTTTTGTAGCCACAGTATTAGAAACTCATAATCATTCCGTGTGCAATTAGCACACCAAAGCCTTTCTCCTGTGCTATTGTTTCCAGCTGATGAACTCCAGCTGATAGCAGGAATTCCTGTTATTAGCCCTCAAGTTCCTGCTGTTGCTTTTTGTACTATTAAATTTCATCACATTTCTCTATCTTCACTCTTSAAGGTCACCCAGCTCTTCTTCTGCAGCCGTGCACTGCAAAGCTTGCTGCAYTAACTGCTAACAAAACAGGCAGCACAGTGTCTTGTTCACAAGCAGTTATAAGCTGAGTCCAGGGCCCAAATCACCTGCTTATCTCACAGATCTCTGGAGCCTGCAAAGTCCCTACCCCATTACCATCATCCCCCTGGGAACTGCTCTACATCAGCTTCCTGGAGAAAGCCCTTTCCACTTGCAGTATTTGGTAGTAYGATAACAAAAGGCATCAAAGCGAAAGAGCAAATAGAAGACAATCATTCTCAGGTGTGAAGCTATCCCAGGGATTTTTTTAAGCCCCCTACCTTCCGACAGGGCTGTTAGTATCATGCAATCCAGATGCTGCTGGCTTCTGTTCAGCGTGGCTCTGGTCAGAGATGGAAGGTGCTAAATTGAAGTCAGGCTGCAAGGCGAGGTGAGCGGGGCTGTGAGCACAAGAGCGCCCTGGCGCTAACACCMAGCTCCCACCTCCACGGGGCACCTCCACGTGAGCTCCCTGCCTTACCTGGCGGGGGGCTAAGGGCCACAGCGTGGCTGCAGCACAGCCACACAGCTCTTAGTGCARCTAAAGCAGCTGAAAACTCCACCAAAACAGCTGTTTTGCTTTTGAATCAGTGATTCCTGTATTCCCTTTCAATCCACTTGAATGTTATTCCTTGGGCCTAATTGAAACACTGTTGAAACAGGTGTCCCTGTTTGAGCAGGRGGGTTGGACTAGATCATCTCTAGAGGTCCTGTCCCAACTCAACCATTCTGTGATTCTATCCTCATTTCCAATATATATTATTACATGTAAGTACTTCTAGCACTGGGAAAAGAGGAAAGAAGAAAGCTAAACAAATTTTATGAAGATATTGCTGTGAAAATGTATCTTCTAACCAAAGATAAAATGAATCCTAATGAAACATGACTGAAGCAGAGTTGAATTTGTTCCAGAATCCTATTTTTTTAATCTTAGTTATTTCTTTATCTGATCTCTTATTTTTCATGTTGCAAACTCACCATTTCTACTATCATGCCATAAAATCCCTTTGGAAAATACTCTGTGGTCCCAGGCAGGCATTTTTCAGTCTTTGATGCTCTCTGTCTTACTGTACTTGCTCCTACAGTAATATTACCTGCTATACAGGAGCTATGTCTTGGCTTCYGAGGCAGTCTGCCATTGAATAGGGTGGTATGGATCACAAATAACCCTCCAATATGTGCAATAATTAACTTTTAAGACTACCATTAAATCCTCTTAAAGCGATTGATTAGATTTCAATTTTGTATGTTACTTTGGATTTTCCTCTCCCCAGCAGTGTTTCTTGAGGCTATTCTGCAGCTGTGCTTGCTTTCCAGCACTGACAGTCATTCAAATCCATCTTGTGCTATTGTAACCTGCTGTTAGCCCATTAGTTGCAATCTGTGGGAGGAGAAGGAGACAAATCGTGTCACTATTCCTTATCAAGGGACCACACAGTTGTTTGCCACTTTGACTCCRTGATGGATGGTTATCTTGAGATGTGACAGGTGTGAGACTGGAAATTTAGAAGGAAACAATGCAGGAGCCCAGTAGCRTTTTGTTATTGACACTTGCTTGATAACAACACAGGGTTAATCAATCTCTCGTGTTTTCCTTAACCCCTTTTCTTTTTGTCTTCAAGATGCAGTTTTTCTCATCAGATTGACGCTGCAGGAAAAAGGTTTGAGGAGATAGCAGGCAACGTTTTTCCTTCCCAGGTACTCGAGATACAATGTCAAATCCCATGAAAAACATGTCTTTTTCTTTCAACAAATTTTAAAAACTCTCCYAAAGTGGGTCAGTAGCCTGAGAAAGTACAGTTTAAAAAGCTGCAAGTATCTGCAATTAAGAATCCTCTCTTCAGAAAAGAAACTTYTTTTTTTCCTAACTAGATTTTTGTTGCCAATAAAGAGTCTTTCATTGTTATGGTTCCACAAATTAACTAACGGTGCCATCTCCTATTAGTTCCTTCCCTGATAGGCTCTAAAGTACCCGTGTTTTCAGAGAAAAGCAGTACACTGAACAGTAAGTAATCATATTTATATGATAAATTTATCTAAATCATATTTATCTTAAAAAAACAAACCAAAAAGTTCAAGGAAATGCAAAACCAGTGCAGTTTATGCTGGTGCTTTAGCCAGGATTGCTTTGGCCATTTTACAACCTGCAAAAAGTGAACTGCTGGATTCACAGAATCTTAAAAAAAAAAGATATTCAGTACACTTAGGAAGCACCGTAAGAGCAACAGGAGTTCATGCATAAGCTAAAGTTCACATTGAATAAGGATCTACACTAAGGGCTAGAAGATGATAAAGCTACAGAAGTTCATTTAAATGTCAATGACCATCAAAATCCTACTAGACACACAAAGTCCTTAGTATGAGATAAGAAGCATCGGTCTGAAACAGTCAAGACAAAAGAAGAYGAGATTATTGTCATTGCCATTTTACTGGAAGGGATATAATCATACAAACAATAAAGACTTCCCTGAGGTGTCCAGAACGCTTGTGACAAAGATAGGAGATGAAAAATCTCCAAGACTGTTGGCCTACAAGGCCTARGTAATTTACCTTCATTTTAAATATATTTCTTTGTCTTGCCTTATTCTCTAGTATAAGCCTTTTTTTTTTTTTTTTTCCAAGCAAAGTTTCCTGTTAATGTTAAAGGGAAAATTTCAAGCACGTTAACAGCTCGGAAGCAGTTACACAATAAAGGCCCAGCCTGTTCATACTGTGCCTATTATATTGACAACGTGAAAATGTTGTCATCCACTTGGACAATTTTGTTGTGTATGTTGTGCACAGCAAAACACAACAGAGAGGAGACAATCACTGGCTTTCTTGAGTGTGAGGAAGGAGTGCCCTGCTCACTTCAGCACATCRTGTGAAAACCTGCAGGGTGTGAACATGAGGATGTCCTGGCACGCACCCCAAGACATTTCCATGGAAAGGTGGCAGCGCTCGGGAGGCTACAGGAGCGCTAGGACACGCTTTAGCTTCTCCTTCCCTGTGACAGAGCAATTTTGTGGATTGCTTTAAGATTCATGTCCTCATTCCAGTTTCTAAGGGCAGTCTGCAAGGAATGGACTTCGGACCCATTTCACTCCTGTTGCTTGTTCCTTTTCTACACGCATTTGCATCTGTTTGGTCGCAGACCTCCTGCGTGGCCCAGCTTTTGCAGGCAGAATTATGATGTAYACCACACCACCTTATTGTGCCTGACAGACTTCGGCGGGAGCCCCTTTCATCTCCACTGTGGGAAATGTTAGGGATGGAGAGTGATACCCCTCCGAGGTTCTGAAACGTCTCTATCAAGTTTCCACATTAGCCTGCTTTCAYCACTTCTTTTCCCTTGCCTTCTGAGTCTAAGTAGCTGCCAATGAAATTTCAGAGAGGTCTCATTAGATTTGAAGCGCCTGTCAGATGGACTTGGAAGAAAATTTATCATGTGAGTTTCATATGTGAGATTTGGGGGACTTGTTGCTGCCCATCCAATCGCATCTAGTTTCAGTGAACAGTAATTAATCAAAGGGAATGTTAATATGAAATCAAAAATTCTGATGAACAAATGTAACTGCTAACTCCTCACRAAACACTTGCCCTCTAGCAATAGCAGTTGACTGCCCGTTCAGAAGGATATGTATGAGCTACATCTGTTCTCACGTTGCAGTGGCTTTCCTGAGCAGAAAGGTACTTTGTGTGCTTTATAGCTGCCACGTGGCTCACACTGTTATTCCATAACCTTATGCCCCTGGTTCTCTTGCTCCATGCCCCTAAACCTTGGCTCCTGCATGCTTTTCTCTCTTTCACCCTCGCTCTGCAACAGCTGAACTACACAAATGCCCAGCAGCAACTGGAATTCCTAAGCAAAAGCAGGAACAACATACCTCTAACATGAAGGAGGCGTACAGGTTTCTGAATGTTTGAGTGACAGCTCTGAGTTACCCACAAAGGGCAGAATTCCATCTTTCATAGAGAATTTGCCTTAAGTCAGTTAAAAAGGCAAGATTTGTGAGGAAAATATATATACCGCCACTAGTGCTGATGATCTGGATTCACACCCAGTCTGGCTGTGGACTTTCTTGGAAACACAGGCCTTGCTTTTCAAAGCCCTTGAAAAACACCACAATCCAGCTGCTTGTCAGACAGAACAGAAAGAGCTTTCCACAGAGTGCGTCACTGTTCAGAACAGAGCAAAGGATTCTGCTAAAACAGAAATGACCACACTGCACTATACATATTAATCATCATATACCGAAACACTTCCAAGTAGGATCCAGCAACAACTCCGGATTGTCTGTGCCATGTAGTGACATGGCCACGGCATTCACAACTGGTGACCCACAGATTAAAGCCTGTGGACCCCAGCATTAGGTAGCACTTTCTTATTCAAAGAGAATGAAGTAAGTAAATATCATTAAGGATCTTTAAGGTATACTTTATCGTATCATTTTTAAAATAGGGATTATTTTACTTCACTTCTCCTGGCTGTCATAATGCAATCTTCTAGAAAAGGGGAGTATTTGATATGGTGCTCTCTGTATGATATGGTGGGTCTTGATTTTGACTGGGGCTTGATGGCTACTGTAATACAAATAAATAATAAGAGGAGAAGAGAGTGCCTTTTGTACTTACAAAAAGCTGATGTCAATTGATCTAGATTTCAGAAAATAGTCGAGATGACAAGTGTAACTTGTTATCGTTAAGACACAGAAATCTGTTAGCCTTTGATTTATCTGTAACACTGTTTAGCACATTGTTAAAAAAAAAAAAAAGTCAGAAGAAGATAATATACCAGGGTACATGCTAATAATTCTTTAAATGAGCTAGTAAGGAATAAAAAGAAAAGGCATAAGAGGATTTTATCTAACAATTCTTTGCCCAGTCTCAAGCAATGCTCTATTGCAAGGCTTTTTCTCCTTGGTTAATCAGAACAGGATTCAGATGAAATCAAATAATTTGCAGATGAATTGCTAATATGTACTGTCATGCATGCCCTTCTAGCAGCATGTCTTTCTAGCGTGTTGAAATACTTGCATCATATGGAGAGACCTGAGAAGTTTTGAGCATTTTGGTTCACTGCCAAGGGAAATTATTTATCAATGGCACATACGGTGCTGATATATACCACAAGAACAGATTTTTTTATGAAGAATGAACATTAGGACAAGACCTTTTCCCTTCCTCTAGTGCATTAAGACAGACTGAAATGCTGTGCTGTCTTCTCCAGAACCTCCAGGGAGAAGTTTCAAATCTCTCTTAGTTACTAATGTGGCTCTATTAATGTATTATCAAGTTACTTCCCAGATTCAAAGTAGTTCACTCTTGCAAGCCTCTTGAGAAAGAGAGAGCATTCTACCATTTTATGGATGGAGAACTGGAAAATTTATGTGGGTGGTGTGTTGGTGCCYATAGATGATAGGATTTGCTTACTTGCCTGCAAGGGCAGCTATGTAACTCCCTGAGGTCACGCTGGACTCCTGTAGCTACTTGAGCCTTGTGCCATCATCCTCAGGACAGTCCAGAGAGTTAAGYCATATTAAGCCATGGGCTTTCTCCACAAACCTA